TTTACTTCCCAAGTGAAAATATATCGTTTTCTTGTCAAAATTCAAAAAAAAAAATTTTGATCTATTTCACCCCGTATCGGATAACTCGAACGTATCGTCATGTATTGGGTGTATCGTATCGTGTATCACACAATACGGTGCAAACCGATACACTTAATTGATACATATCGTTTTTATTCATGTATTGAAACGTATAGTATGTATCGTATCGCATATCGTACGATACTAACAACTATGGTTCTGAGATGTGAACGATTTTTCTTCCTAATTTCTAGCCTCTGGGTGTTTCTAAGGCTGCTGATGTGTCCCATATTCATTGGGTGGTTTGCAACTTGGTCTCACTATGTTTTTTGATTATCTTGGGTAGTTTTTTTGGCTCCATTCTTAATTGTTTCTATGATTGTGTTCTCCTTTATTGCCTAGTTGATTGTGACTTGTGTGTTGTTCAATGGTTGTAGGTTGGTTTTGCATTGTGGTTGTCTTTTTGTGTTAGATTCGACTGGTTTCATTGCTTTTGATGTTGGATTGTTCTAACTTCTAAGGCACTCTGCTTCATCAGTCTTGAGTTGTTTACTGGTTTGGGTGATCAATTGGTGGTGTTTGATTAATTATTCATTGGATTGTTTACTAGTTCGGTGAATACTTTCTACATTAGTTTGTGTGGTTGCTAACTCTTGTTGGACTGCATCACTAATTGTGGGTTTCTCAATGATGACTTCAAATGGTAGTAATGCTGGTCGTTCTGGCCAAGGTCATCACCCTAACTAGAAGTGCACTTATTGTGGTGTTATTGTTATAATAAGTATGAGACCAACATATACTCATCAGGCTTTTAATGATGCTTCTTAAGTATATCAGATTTCTACCAATAGTCTAGGTGCTCTTACTACTACTGACTCTTATGATGATGTTTCATCTCAGCTCATCTAACAAAAATCATCGTTTTCGACACATTGGTAAGCCACTAAGCCTGCATGTATGGTTACTCAACCTTCTTTATCATCTGAGATCATTGATTCATATGAGCACCAAGTCCATACCATAACCTCTGGTTTATTTGTTCCTAATTTTCCTTTTAACTTGACATTGGTGAGTCAGCTAACTAAGTTCTTACAGTATTCAAGTGACATTCTCTCCATCTTCTTGTATTTTTCAAGACCTCAAAACGAAAAAAGTGATTAGGATGGGGCATGAGCGCAATGGCCTTTACTACTTAAATCTTGGTGATTCTATTCCTGCCTTGAGTTCTACTGTCTCCTCTTCAGTGGCACTTTCAACTGGGTCATCCCTCTTTGCAAAAGTTGCATCAGGTCATACCTGGTTTAAGCTCTTCTTCTATGTTAGAATGTAAGGCTTGTGAATTAGGCAAGCATCACAGTAGCTCTTTTCCTCCTAGTTTTTCCAATTGTCAGCCCATTCCATTGCATATTGTTCATACAGATATTTGGTGTCCTATAAGAGTCAAAAGTATTTCTAATTTTCAGTATTTTGTCATCTTTGTTAATGATTTCTCTCATATGACTTGGTTATTTCTTATGCAAGACCAATCTGAATTGTCTAATGTCTTTACCAACTTTTATAATAAAATCCTGATTCAGTTCGATACCGTATTATAGGTTCTTTGGTCTGCCAATGCCCTTGAGTTTATTCAATCACTTATGAAGAACTTTTTCGCAGACCATGACCTTATCCATCAAACTACATGTCTACATATCTCCCAACAAAATGGTGTTGCTGAACATAAACATCATCATTTGTTAGATGTTACTTGCACATTTATGTTTAACATGCATGTTTCAAAACCATATTGCGCTGATGTTATTCTTACTTTAGTTTATCTTATTAATCACATGTATTCCCCTATTTTAGACAACAAATCTCATTTTTCATTGTTTTACCCTAATGACTGCCATTTGGACTCATTCCTTATATATGTGGTTGCGTTGCTTTTGTTCATCTTTTTGATCTAGGTCGGAATGAACGTTCGCCTCATTCAATTAAGTGTCTTTTATTCTCGTATTTAGAAAGGTTAGCGGTGCAATGACCCGGTCTCTCACCGATACTACGGCAATACTGATGTTACCTTTTTGAGTTGTCATCTTTCTTTTTTGCATCATGACATACACTTTTACCTAATTTAGTTTTTCTCAATAAGGAGAGACCTTGTTGCCTGTTGTACTAGACTATGTGTATCCTCTTCCTCCTCAACTACCGCACCTCCCTTGGAGGTTTATCGTCGTTCCAAGGACAAACAGATTGTTCCATATGCTTTATCCCCATAGCTATCGCCTGATTCTACTAAAGTCCTGCCTTCTAAGCCGTTAGCTAGTTCATTCTCTTCTGATTTGCCTATTGCTCTGAGAAAAAGTACTCATAATTATACCACGCATACCATTTCTAATTTTGTTTTCTTGCATAGGTTTTTCTCATTATTTCGATGTTTTACATCTACCTTATTATCTGTGATTGTTGCTAGTTCCTTGACACATGTTTTGGCATCTCTTGGATGGAAACTAGCTATGGATGAAAAAATGAAAGCTCTTCATGAAAATCAGACTTGGGATCTCACTTCACGTCCTCTTGGGAAACAGCCCGTTAGTTGTTGTTGGGTCTATATTGTAAAATATCTTCCTGATGGCTCGGTCGAACGTGTTTTTCTGCTGATCGACTTAACTCTGTTAGAGTTTTTATTTCGGTTGCAACTTGTCGTGATTAACCCTTGTGCCAACGGGACATAAAGAATGTCTTTTTGCAAGGAGATTTACGGGAGGAGTTATACATGGTTCAGTCCCCAAATTATGTTACTTCTAATAAGGAACAATTAATATGTCACCTGAAGAAAGCACTGTAAGGTCTGAAACAGTCACCACGTGCTTGGTTTGATTAGTTCAGTATTGTGGTCCTTTAGTATGGTTTTTATCCCTCTACTCCACATCATTTAGTGTTTATTCGTTGTTTTATCCAAGAAGTTATCATTCTAATTGTATATGTTGATGACATTATCATTAGTGGTGATGATTCTAATAATATTACTAATTTTAAGCTCCCTTTGCAGAAGCAGTTTCACAAGTACTTCCTTGAGATTGAAGTTACTCGGTCAAAAGAAGGTATCAATTTATGCCAACGAAAATAAGTATTGAATTTACTATCTAAAACTAGTACTCTTAGTACTCGTCCTATTAATACCCCTATGGATTCTATAGTCAAGTTAGATGCTGAGAGTGAAAAAAAATTGATGACACGGGAGGCTATCGAAGATTGATTGAAAAATTGATCTACCTCACAGTTACGCGTTCTGATATTACATTTATAGTTGGTGTAATTAGTCAATTTATGCATTCTCCTCTCAAGCCTCATCAAGAGGTTGTTTGTCATATTATTTGGAATCTTAAAGGAACACCCGAGAAAGGATTATTATATTCGTCTTCACCATATGTGACTATTACTGGCCTTTTTAATGCTGACTGGGCAGGTAGTAGTACTGATATGAGATCTATTTCTGCATGTATGTTAGGGATAACCTTGATAATTGGCGTAACAAGAAACAAAATGCAATTGCACGTCAAAGTGCATAGGCAGAGTATCAGGCTATGGCTCACATGGCGTGGGAAATGTTGTGGGTGCGCTCTCTAATTCATGATATGGGGATTAGTGTACCTTCTTCTACGATGATGCATTGTAATTATTAGACTGCTATATTCATTGCCAATAATCTAGCATTCAATGAGCCCATCAAATACATAAAAGTGAATTGTTATTTTATTCCATATATCAAGTATGCTGATCAATTAGGTGATATTTTTACCAAACTATTGACTCATGGTACCTTCAATAATATTTGTTTCAAGTTGGACATTTTTTATCTTTATGTTCCAGCTTGATGGGAATTGTTAGAGTTCTTATTTCTACGTTTTATATTTATGTTGAGTAACATTGTAATTACTCAAGATAGTGTTTAATATAAATAAGAGAGTGTAGGGCAACACTGCTAACACACAACTGATTATTATTCTCAATCTCTTTCTCTCTCTTCTAACTTCATCTCTTTCCCTTTCTTTCTCAAACGCCAATACAAATTCAACTAATTCATCATGAAACCATCTCTATACTGACATAGTGGTAGAAGGAGTACCATGTTGCATCTAAACTTCAAACTGTTTAGCTTTAACCATGTTAAGGATCCTACATTATTGGTTGATACAGAATCAAAGTAGATTACCAATGAATTAGTTATTACAATAAGGACGGCTTCGACAAAAACAAAAAAAATAAATCCCAAAAAATCCCTCAATAAAAAAGATTAAAGGACATGATATTCCTGCACTAAGATTGAACAAGACCAAATCTCTTCAAATAGGACAACATGCCGCTTATACCCAAAGGGTCATTTGGTTACAATACTAAGTGAGTAAGCGGTGGATTAAGTCTTTAAAAAAAAAAAAAAGTGGTGGATTAAGAAGTCTTAAGACATTAAAATTCTCTAATCCAACCTTATACTACATTTTAGTGGCCAAAAACAATCCGTATTAGGTATAGGCTTTTCTTGAATAATATGCTCTACCCATACTATTGAGCCAATTTTAGGTGATATTATAATGCAGTTCAACCATATTAGGTTATAATTTACCCACCAAATAAACAAAAAGAAGGATAACTAGACAAGAATAAAGATTTTTTGATAATATGTAGTACTACAGGATAAGTGCACTAACCAAATGTAAGTTTAGACTCGATAGTTATTAACCAAACGTAAAATTTTTATCCCCATTTAATCTTGCATTTTATCCACTTATACGGAATTAACTTGTATTACATAATACAAACTTTTTTTTTACAATACGATAACCAAACCAACCCAAAATATATTGTAAATCTACTAATCAGCTTATTATTCTTACGCATAAACATGGTATAAGAAGATATCAAGGAACCAACACTACATCAAGCATCAAAACCCAATAATCATCCACCTCAATCAGAATAATTCACATTCAACATCACTAACAACCACTTAGAGAAAGTAGCTGAATAAAAACATAAAACTTTTCTCTGTATTTGGTTAGTACTGAGAAAGAACTTACAGGGAATATCTCTAAATGTGCTGGCCAAGTAGACAATTTCCTCTTCCCTGGTCGAACAGTTTTCACTACACGATCACAGCGCACTAAAAGATTCTTTCTGAGCAGGACATTGGCAATATCTTCTGTTTCCAGATTCTTATCCGAATCTAGTATATCTTTAAGCTCAGGATGATTTCTCAAAAAACTGACAAAATCTTTTCCTCTAAAATATTCCACACGTGTCTCCTGTAAGATAGCCCACCTAGATACCAAATCCTTATTTTCTCTCACCTTCTCAGCGAACAACTGAAACACATCCTTCTTTGTAGCTTGCTTCTGAGATTTAAAATTGGAAAAGAGATCATATTAATATTCTAAAAAATACAGATCAATTCATGAACCCTGATCAAAGAGGGGAAGTCAGTAACAACAGATGTATTGGAACACAAAAAGTTTGGAACTAAACCAATGCTCAGCAATACCAAGAACAACGAAAGTATAAGATAGCAAGATTAAGAAGCAGCAGAACAAAATATCCGAAGGATAACAGAGACCAGAAAATTTGCAAGGCGGCAGGCATGAGCACATGGAAAGCATGGATACATAAATTTGGAATTTTTATGCAAGCACTAATTCCCAAGCATACCACGCAAGGTACAACAAGAGGGCTATTTTATCCACCAAGTCATTCACAATAAAATTCTCAGACCAGCCATATTTCATAACCCTGATAGACATTGCACCTCCATCAAAAGTGTATTATAAGTGAAACAATGATCTTATTCTATTGCTATTTTCAACATGGATGCTAACTTATAAAAACTTTCCTCTAAAAATAGGAGGATAAATTTGCTTCAAAGTCTGGAGAACTATATGACACACTAAACATAACAGTAATGTCGCTCAATTGTGACCTGGCCGTCAAGCATTCGAGTAGCAAAGATAATTTTTCTGCATGCAGGGTAAAGTTGGGTACATCTGACCCTTCCAGAGCCCACAGACTGACAGAAGTAAGATCCTCATGCATTGGGCTGCTTTTTTTTTGTAATCAGAAGTTAAGAAACTTCCATTCCAGCACACTGTGAGATGCATGACTAACAGAACAGACAATGAGATACTCAAAACAGTCCGAGAAAAATAGAGGGGTACTGAATTCCAGTAACACTCATTTTTCCTTCTTTTTTTTTTCTGTTCATTAATTACAAAAAAAAAATTATGATGAAGAAAATATATAAAAAACCTGGGGAACTGAACAAAAAGGAGATAAATGTCGACAACTACACCACCTAGATAGGCCACGAACTGACAACATTGTATTCTTAAAACCCAGAAAAATTAAGGATCAGCAGATACAGCTACAAGACAAGGGCGTTGGACTATTGATTGCCTGATTCTGCTTAAACACATATTTATTAGTGGTGGTAGATGACCAGCATAGGAATCAAGAGTTTGATTGAAAGGTGAAAGTGTGGTCCCTATAGGATTCTCGTCAAGAGGTTTGAAGAGTCACCAGCAGTAATGGTTACACACTTCCCGAACAGGTGATAGATGTAAAAAAATTCAAATTTTACAGAGACTCTCATTCTTCAAACATTTTGGATTCCTAGTTTACACTATTATCTTAACAAATAAGGGGTCACTACAACTCCAGTGGATTGCTTTAACCGGAAGTGTAAGGACTTTCAACACATCTGTTACAGATAAAGCCAAGTTACAAGTCAATCATTCTGTTGTTCAAATAAATAAAGGTACGAGTCTAGGGGAACAATTCAAGACCATTGGTAATATTTGCTGCCAAATAAATTATGAAGCAGTAAATATATGATTTTGAGGATCTTCGGTTTTTGTTCCATCATCAGCTGCCATATACAAGTCAAAAGTGAAAAAATTGTATGTCTACAAATAAGTACTAACAATCATTCTTCATATGAACCAAATGCAGCACTAGTCTGAATTCCATAGACAGTCTAAATCCAGAAATTCAAACCAAAAAAAATCAATTTTCTTCAATACATAAACAATTAATCGAAGAGATCTTTAAATGTCTACTGACCATGAGACACTAATATACATGTATATAATACTCAAAGAAAAATTCCGATCCTCAGTTTTAGTCCATGATCCCATCAATCCAGAGCAATGTAAAGGCAGTAATGCAATATTTATATCTACCCCTTTTTGATGATTCTATTTATTAATCTTCATTTATCATATAACTCAAACGGAATAAGAATGAGTGAGTAACCAGAGACATATTCCAACAATTTCTCATAGCATCGAAAAATTAATATAAGAGATCCTTAAAACTCCTAACCATAAAATGAGCACATAGATGTACACATATTAAACAAAGATAGTGTGTATCTATACATTTACTTACCATTTATGCCTTTCCATAACAATAGCACAAGGTTAAATAAATCCATCTTTAATTAAGGCTACACATTCCACCAAGAGCCTCAAAATGACACTCGGTTGAAACAACAAAGATGGTCAAACTTAGCACAACCAAAATGAGTAAATTAAAATGCACAAAAGAAGCCCTTGGAAAACACATTATAATACATCCATTCTTCACGTGCCTTCCATGCAAACACAACATTTCAAATTAGCCCAAATCCTTATTAAGAAATATTATACAATGTAATTATCAATAAAATGATTGATCTGCAGGAAACTACAACGGAGTCTGAGGAGATAAAAATCAATGAACAGCCTTTGAAGGGAAATACCATTGCCCTTGCCTTCTCCCTCTAGAGGATCCAATTAGATAAGGACTTCATGAAGTATATCCCATGCCAACCTCCCTCCACTATTATATTCTTGTAATTTCTCCTTAAATACTTCATTCTCAAAGAACCACAAGCCCAACAAGACATCAGTGAAGGCCTGCCCTAATTGAGGATTCCAGTGCCTTTACTCTTATTTAAAAACCTGTTCTGCACTGCCTAAGCTTCATTAACACTTGATGTAATTGCTGAAAATTAGAGAATGTAAACATTATCCCAAAAAGATAGATCATCTCCCCCACCCAAAAGTAAAAGGAGCAAAGAAAGATAAGTTTACCAAAAAACCTTGCCCAAAACCTTCACAATATGATTCAAAACCCAAATAATCAGAACTTACAAATTTACAATCCCATCTTGAAAAAAAATCATCCTAAAGACAATCACAGCTCAAGATAAAAGCCTCTTTCATTGACCTCCTCATATACGGCAACTAAAAGAACTTCCTCGCTACATTGCCATTTATGATACTCTACGATCAAACACTATCTCCAAGAATAGAACACTTCAACAAACTGATAAACACGTGAGAGAACAATCGAATGATTCACAATCCTGCCCCACAATTTTTTCTTCGAATTTGTATAATCTGGTTAAGAACGGCCATCACCCAGTTTAATTCTTGCTTAAAGAGGATGCCAGACTGCCAGGATAGGTAGAACAAAGATAGACCTAACCTTTGGCATATTTACAAAGTGGCCGTTGTACTCAATATCATGCTTTGACTCGAGACATTTACATTTCAACCAAGCAATTTGTCTAATTTACTTGCCACTCGAAAAGAACTAGTAACCAGTGATGTGAAAAAAAAGTCATAATGCTCAAGAAAAAATTGCATAAAGAAAAGTCTTTCATACGGGTTGTACTAGTCATAATCTAAATTTCTGAATTGGACTTTCCACCGTTAAATAAATCATTTTCAGGCACAAATTTTGTAAAACATAGTGCGGATATAGGAGTTTTACAAAAATTCGTTACGTTTTAGATATCGGTTGCAGTGAACTGAAATAATAAGGGAGCAGAACAAATCACAACAGCAATTTTTTTTTGTTCCAATCTGTAAATTGCAACAAAAAGTTTCCTACAGTATTGATTCTGTATCCTCGGTGTAGATCTTTTGCAATGTGATCATCACGAAATCTTATTACCAAAAAAAACCCAAATTTAATGGAAGGAAATGATGATATAAACAAACATATAGGCATCTATATATGTAGAAAGAGAAAGAGGGAGGGAGAGAAGCCGAACCCTAGGAGGGGTGTCGCTGCTGGGATCTCTGTTGGCACCGTTTTGGATCGCTCCGGAGGAACGCCGAGCCTTCTTTTTCTCTGCTCCTCCTGCTTTCTTCATCTCTCTCCACTCTCTCCCTCTCTCTCTCCTTAACGTTTTGCTTTTGTCTTGGGAGGGTTTATTTTCAGGGAAAAAAAACTGTTTATAACACTGGGTGCCCGGAAAAACAGTTTTTAACACTGGTGCCCGTGATTTTTTGAATTAGTTCCATTTGACCCTTTTTTATTTGGTTAAGTTTTGTCTTCATACCTTAAATGCTAAACTTTTTTTTTTTAAGTTTAACGGTGGGGAGTGTTCAAGCCAGTTTACGCGTACCTCAACTAATTTTCTTTCTAATTCAGTCAAAGGTAGATTATCAACGTCGGAACTAGAATATTCATGAAAGATAAATTTCTCGTCCAAAAGGGTTACCAAAATTTCAAGTCAAGTCATATGGGTTGTCAAGATTTTTTTATTTTTTTATTTTTATCAAAACAAGCCCATGAAACATTATATTAAGTAGAAAAGTCAAGATTTAAATTAAGAAGTATGAGTTTATAGTTCGTCTTTGTTGCCACTTGAACTACCTTTGTGATTAATGATAAAACTTTGTTTAATGAAAAAATAGGGTTAGTCGGAAGACTTTACCCTATTAATAAAAGTGAGATATTATTATTATTATTTCTTTTTATTGGAAAACTAAACTTCTTTCATAAAATGAAAGATGCATATTTCAAAAGTACAATAAATGGGGGATAAGAAAAAGTGAGATGTTATATTAAAATTTATCTACATGATATTCCATAATTAAATTTTGATAACATAATAATAAAAGGTCCAAAAATTTATATACATGGTGTTGTAATAACAAAATAAAAAAAAAAAAAAATTGCAACTTTTAATTACAGTCCTGAGTTTTTATTTTATGAATAGGTTCTATGATAACTTAACTACCAGTGCCATCAACATTTGAAATTTCTTCTTCTACCTTTTTCCATTACCTATCAATCACAAATTTAATTAAAACTTCCAATCCAAAAAAAGATCAGAATTATATACTTTGAATATTACAAAGTACAACTATAAGCCAGGTCAAATATTTAAAACAAGGTCACCTACAGATAAAATAAATAAATAAATAAGCTAGGGGATGATATTCAAATAATTGAGGTTTAAACTCACATTTTTCACATCGAAAAACACCTACACAATACGCAAAACATGCTTTGAAAGTTTCAGATTAAGAGAGTGTTTTCAAATCACACAATTACATGGAAAAATGATGGTGTAAATTACACTTTTGTACAAACAAAACACACAAACACACACTTGGAAAGTTTTAGATTAAGAGAGTGTTTTCAAATCACACAATTACATGGAAGAATGATAGTGTAAATTACACTTTTATATAAACAACGATAAGGTTGAGATTAAACTAAAAACCATGATAAAGTGGGAATAAAGCTTAAAAAATCCAAATGTTTCGTGACCACATTAGGCTATGCATAGCCTTCCTTTTCAGTGTTTTTTTTTTCTTTTTTGACAACTAGAGATTTTAAACATGTCCATACGACATAAAATATTAGAGGTTCGAATCTTAGAGTCCACATTAGTGTTTAGTGATTGACTGCTATACTAATTTAATTAGGTTCATTCTCGAGAAGAATAACAAACACGTGATCAGAGGTCTCATGATTCCACATTTTCCTAACTTGGATTCGTTCCCGAGAATAATAACAGACGTGATTAGAGGCCTCATAATGCTACCAATAAGAACCTATCAAAGTGATATTTTGATTCTTTCCTTTACCTTCACCCTTTATTTTCCCAAGCCAAAAAAAAAAAAAATGATGAAGATGGTGAATTAGCATCGTTTGAAAATGTCTTGGGCTTATACAACCCTCAATTGAAGCCACACGTAACTGTTATCCTTCATCTTCACATCACATTGATTCTCATACTTTGGGCCTCAAATGTTTTTGTCTGGGCATGTCTTAGGGATTCGTCAGGCCCATATGGACGTGAAAAAAGGACATGAAAAATCTAAGGTTAAACATAATAATTATTTTTTAAATTTTGCCTTTTAAATGGTCTTTGAACTTTTAATTATTTTAATTTAATCTTTTAATTGTCAATTTTGTATTAACAAATTCATTCCATCAGTCTACATCACATATATTTCTATTTATTCTAACCATCGAAATTGATAGAAGAAAATTGAAACTAAATTTGGTGTAAATTTTATTTTATATCTTAAAATATTTATAAATTATTATTTTTTACCCTCAAATTTTAATTTTTTTATTTACACTCTCAATTTATTTCTTCTGGTTACTCATTTTGTCAAAGTCAACGAGGATGATTTTTTAGATATAAAAAATTTAATATTTTAAAATATAAAATATATATATTTTTTAAATCCTTCAGGTAAAAATGAATTTCTCCATTGAATTTTTAATGAGACAATTAAAAATTAGTTTAAAAATAATGATATTTACCCAAAATCTAATAATGCCGTTGAAGCTTTATGGTGGGGAGTTTGTGATTGTATGGTCTTGCGAGTTAAAATGCTTCATCTTCAGCGCCTTCTCCCTCTTCAAGCACACCAATTACTGGCTTCTCCACTCTCTCTCATCAACAAGCGTGGATTATGGGTATCTGGGTTTGGATTGGACAGTTGTGAATTCAAGAGAAAGGGGACCAATTTTCATTCTCAGTGTGCTGTTGAGAAAGACTCCGAGTTTGAGGTTGACCCAGAGAAAGCACGAGAAGCCCTGCGAAAGCTCGATCAACAGCTTCAATCTCTTTCAGAGAAACCAACTAATCCTCCAAAAATTAGGGGTAAGCGATTTCTCTCTTTATCTGCTTATATATTAATTTATTATTTATATTTTAGCATATGTGATTGTGAGATTATATGTTTGTATATGTGTTCGAGTGTTTATATGGATGTTGGTTTATGGAATTGCATAAAAGCCACGTCTAATTCATTACAGTTAATTCTTCCTAGATTTTTCCAATCAGGTGTATGGGTCGATCCTTGTCAAAAGGAAGGATTGATTTCATATTTGGCCCATAATAGAAGATGAACTGAATTCATATAGCCGCCTCCAAAAAGTTAGGATTTGTTGAGATATTTTTAGGATTCATTCAATCCAAAAAAATCCATAGACTGATGACATGGTTTGTGAAGGTTAGGTTGCATCCCCTCCGTAGTAGCCAGGGTTATTACTAGGCCCAATTCACCCGTTTTTGTGGGTGTAAGTATAATTATATATATGTGTGTTGGAACTTACTATAAACCTGTCATCATTTGCAAAGTGCTATATACCTAAAAACAAGGATTCATATAGCGTGTTTATGGAGTTCAGGTGAAATAAGGGTAATGATCCATAAAGAATGCGTTTTGTCTCCCTTCTGTCTCCATTCTTCTAATTGTGTTAGTTTGGCCCTAAAGCAATATGCATTTAAATAATCCAATTGATTACTGATTTAGAATTGAGACTTGGATTTAAAATTACGTACTCTGCGTCAGAAGATCCCAAAAATCTTTTTCCCAAGAGCTTGGCAAAGTTGAAATAAAAAATAACTAAGTATTAGAGAGGAAGACAAGAAGAAAGAATTAATATAATGAGATTGGTGTATTGGATGTATACATCCTATGACCTATTTATATTAGTTTGATATTGATAATAGGAAAGAAAACATATTAGGAAAGTAGACAACAGGAAACTTCCAAATAAAAAAATCTAATACTTCTAATACTTCCTCTTAAGCTAAAGCATAAAGATTAAAAGTGTCTTGCCTGGTACAAAAACTGCCAAAGGTGGAGCGAGCCAAGGGTTTGGTAAAAATATTACTTAGTAAGAGATCCCGTACAAATGACAATCCACTTTCATGTGCTTGGTACGCTCATGAAACATGAGATTACTGACAATGAGAATGGCTACCCGGTTGTCATAATGCATCTATATAGAAAAAAATACATCAACCCCATCTCATGAAGTAGAAAACGAACCTATAACATCTCATGGATAGTATGAGCCATAGCACGGTACTTAGACTCCGCACTAGAACATGCCACCATATTTTATTGCTTACTATGCTACGTAATAAAATTATCACCAACAAAGGTACAATAGTCAAAAGTAGACGTCTATCAATGACTGTTGGCCCAGCATCAAGAAATTCGGTAATAGATATAATAGTCCTCCACCTGGGCGCACCTTTTAAATACCAAAAAATGCACGGATAACTTCCCAATAAGGTGTACGAGGAGCCATAAACTGACTAGTAACTCCAATGGGATAAGTAATGTCAAGGTATGTAACTGTAAGATAGATCAATTTTTCAACCAACTGCCAATAACGCCCAGTGTCTGCAAAGACATCTCCACTGTTAGTATCTAATTCAAACCGTGGGATCCATCGGGTATCGATTGGGGGCACACCAAGAGTATCAGTTTCAGAGAGTAAATCTATCAAATATTTTTGGTGGCATAAAGTAATACTAATCTTAGATAAGGCTACTTCACTTCCAAGAAAATATAGAAGGAGACCCAAGTCCTTGGTGGCCGAAATATGTCTTAAAATCAGCTATACCAGTGGAGTCACAATCACCACTAATAATAATATCAGTGACTTAGACGATGAGAACAATGACACCTGTGGCAGACTTGGGGGTAAATAGAGGATGATCCAAAGTAGAATGCTAGAAGCCATATTGAAGCACAACTATACTAAACTTGTCAAACCAAGTACACAATGATTCCTTTATGCCATACAATGCGTTCTTCAACAAACATAGTAACTGTTCCTTATCGAACACAACTTATCCTCATGGTTGAAGCATGTATATTTCCTCCTATAGATCTCATGGAAAAAAACATTCTTGACATCTCGTTGATGTAAAGGCCAATGTACATCGATTGTAACAAAGTAGAATTTGATCAAAGTTAAGATGAACAACAGGAGAAAAGGTCTCACAATCGGGAAGATATTTATGGTAAAACACACTACAACTGACATACTGTTTTACAATCTGGGACAGGCCTTATACACTACACTTCATTAAATTTAGTTCCTTTCATCCATTCAAGTGGGTTACTTTGACACATAATTTGTCATTCATTAATGGTTTTGAACAAATAAATATATCACGTTAATCTCCTCGCGAAGGAAAATGCGTTTAAACTTAGTCCCACCAAATTTCAATGTGAGTCCACTTTTATTTAAGCCCAAAGTTGTTTAAGCATAACTTTATCAAAACCATTTTTTCAACAAATTTAAACCCTAATTAATAAGCAATAAGCTCAGATTGGAATATAATGAGATTAAAGAAGAAGAAAGAAGTAATATAATGAGATTGGTGTATTGGATGTGTAAATCCTATCACCAATTTATATTAGTTTGATATTGATAATAAAAAGACATATTAGGAAAGTAAACAATAGGAAACTTCCAAATAGGAAAATCTAATGACTTTAACGGGTAACATGAAGGCTTTTTGGTGATTGAATCTCACTGATGCTTGATTACAATTAATAGAATGATGGCTCACTATTTCAGTGTGCTAGATAAATTATTGTTAGTTTTCATATATTAGGATTGCTGATATGTCTTTATTCATTCAGGTATTTTTTGATACTTTAAAATAGTTCATCCAAGACCATTTTTCTTCTTATGTCTTAGACAATGAGTTCAGCTTGGAATCAAAAGGGTCCTATATTGGTTGATACACATTGGCAAATATATTTTAGGACCATCAAGCTCTTCTGATCATGCATTCTCGAGAAATATCAGTTACACAGAATCTATGGTACTTAAATTTGCACAATTAAACAATGAACCTGGGCATGTATACTCGGAATTTAGTCAATTGCCATTTAATGGTAAAAAACTCTTGTAGATGGTTGAAGTTATGATACATGATAAAATTGTCTTCAGGTATGATTATGCATGACTAGGGATCTCGATGGGTGATTGAACGAGACTATAATCCTTTGAGACATTGGGTTTTGTGCTGATGAGAATGTTGAGGAATCTATCAATGTTTGCTATAGTAAATTAAGCAGTGCACATGACTTACATTTGAGCCTGAAAACTCCGCTTGGAAGTATAACATAACTCTATGGATGTTCAGTCTAACGGCATGCATGTTCAGATACGCCCCAACCCCCAAAACACACAAAAAAAGAAAAGAAAAGAAGAAATAAAGCCATCGTCTCCCTGTAAATAAAATGAATAAGCATCGTTTTGTTTCATTCACTTATACTTTTTGTGAAGGTTCCAACCTTTTTGAATGAAACCCTCTTAAACAATAATTTTCCCCTCCCAACTTCAGCAAGGCATCAAAATGCTTAATGAGTTCATTGTCAGATATATTTGAAGCTGTTGAATGACCTGTTTCCAAATTACTGCAGCTTCAGACCTCAATCGTGCAAGCAGCCGAATGACAGAAGCAGCCCCTGAAGTTTCAGGATCGTTTCTGGCATATTCAGCTTTTGTTCTCCTTATCTTCACCATTTTTTATAATGCACTATTTGCCACAGTAATAAAGCCTTCCATAGATGGAGAAGAACCAGTTCCAGATACAACCACCCTAAGAGAGGCCCCAGAAGCATTCACAGAGCTGAGCCCACAACTACAAAAATTTCTAGCTAAACCCCGAAACTTTTAGGTCCGGAAGCATGTCCAAATGCAAGCTTTTGTCGCAGGGGGAGTATAAGTTCTGAAAAACAGTGAAAAAACCAGTTTTGCATTTTAGATATGGTCTGTTCTTCCTCTAACCCATCTCTTCCTGTTTGTCGTCTATACTGTCTAAGACCACCCCGTCATCTTCTAGTCCCTTGTCCATTACATTTACCTATATCGTATTTTGAGTGACTATTTTGACCATGAATCCTCTAACTATATGTATGTGATTGAGGTCTGCATCTACAAATGAGCTGTCTAGAGTAATGATAGTTGCACCATTATAGGGCAAACAGTCTTCATCAATATGTTCTTTATGTTCGACTTGTTTTGGCTATTAATTGTTGTTATTGTTCTAGAATTACTAATATACTTCTTTAAATTCCTTGTTAGAATCTTTCATTCTACTCTCTGTTGAAGAATATACTGAATTGAGCAATACTTGGGGTCCCAAAACAAATCCCAGTTTTTTGATCCCAAGTCAATGGGGATGATTGGAGCAATGAGCCAAATTGAGAAAAGCCCGTAGATATCAATTGGTTGTTGAACCTTGAAGTCACGGGTTTGAATCTCGTCGTTCTCCACCCCAGTTATAGTGTTTGGACCTTACACTATTTTTTTCAATTGAGTCGAAATGATAGTGTTATTCGGTGAAATTGAGCATAAAAATTGAGCTAGAATTGTTGGATTATTTAATAAATTTGCATTAAAACTACAAATGATGTGATGAAATTGGGTCGGAATTTGGTTGGGCTCAAGCAATTCTACAACGAAATTAAGATAAAAAAATTTTATTATCCGATGAATTGGTCAAATTTATTTTACATGTAATCACATAAATTGAATAAATTGTATCGATTTTATTGAAAATACATCTTACTATAATGTATATACTTTATAGTTGATTTTGGTAGGCTCTACACAACTAAATACTTGATCTGACTTAACAAACTTATTTAATGCCACTGGTGGACCTAACCTCTCCGACCCCTCTAATGGGCACATTTCAACCACTAGCTCGTGGGTCTTTAGAAAATGGTCTTTGAGTTCACATTGGCCGTCACCCAAAATAGACCATTCATCTTCAGTTATGGGTCCGATTGCGGGACAAAAAAGCTATTTTGTCAATACTGAGTAGTATATGCTTTTCTTTTCTCTAGTAAAACTAGGATATGTATGACTATTTGTTTGTTACTTTTTTGTTTTCTTGTAATCAATAGCCCACAAATAAATTGGAGACTCTTTTATATCGAGCTATTGAAACAGCGCGTTTAGTAGTAATCGAAAATTTTATTGTGTTATGACGAACAATTCTGAAAAAAGGGTTAATTATAAAAAATTTCAATCTACTTAGGGATACTTGCAAACTAGCTCCTCGTACTTTTAACTTTTACACTGAATTCCCCTCAATTTATACACAAAGAACTAAAATAGACGTTGTTGTAGAATCCGTAAAAATTCAAAAAATATTCTTCTTATTTCATTCAATTTTCACTGCAATATCCCCTCTATCCTTCTCTATCCCTCTCCCTTAGCCTACAGAGTATGTTAAACGAAGACAGTGGCAATTTGTAGGTGCTTTTGCCATGTGCCTTTGTTCTACCGTGGGATGATAGAAACATTGAACACCAAATTTTCTCTTTTTCCGACCTTGTTTGTTCTAAAACCCACACATGGGCAAATGGTTTGTGACACAAAAGATAGATGATCGATCCGAGTTATTTGGATTCGGCTCTAGTTTAGTTCGTTTTGGGTTCGAGTTATTTTTTTAAACGAGTTAAACTTGAACAATTTTTAAGTTTATTTTAAAAGAAAGTGCCTAAATAGACTTAACTCAAGCTTACAAAACTTAACTTGTTTATATATAAAATAATTGAGTTATTCGGGCTCGACTCGTTTTCTAAATAAACAAAGTTTTAACAATTTTTTAAGTTCGTTCAAAAAAAAAAGCTCAATTAGATTATTAGCCCTCAAAATTCGGCTTGATTATTAGCCGTAAACAATATTGCTTATGTTGGAATTCAAGTTTGGATGTGATTCGGGCCGCTTATGGGTGCGTATGACCTGGATAAGGGTGATTACAGGCTCCTACACAATCAAATGCCCGCTTTATAGCCAACGATCGTCAGGGGGAGTCATCAACTCCCCTCAAGTTCACTGTCAGTTACAAGCCCAACCTTAAAAATAGGGTTATGATAGATATATAAGAGTATTGAAGCATAGCATAATAATGAACAAGTTATTGTCTGTGTCTGAAAGCACAGAATAATAAAAAATATTAAACAATAAACATATTTGTATTAATATTCAAAATTAAATCACAAATATAGAAAAGATATAAAAGTATTTAAACATTAGTTTGTAGTGGGGATAAGAGGTGGTGGGTGCCAGTGGTGGTGGTAGGAGACGATGATGGTTGTGGTGGGGTGGCGATGGTGGTGGTGGTGGTGGTGGCGGATGGTGGTGGCAGTGGTGGCGGCGAAGGTGTAGGGGGGGTGGTGGCGGCGACTGTGGTGGGGGGTAGTGTTGACGGCAACAATGGTGGTGGTGGCGACGACGGTGGTGGCGGTGGAGGGTGGGTGGTGGAGGCGGTGGCGGTGGTGGTGGTGGTGGTAGTGGTAGTGGTGGTGATGGTAATGGTAGTGGTGAGGTGGTTTCAAATATTACTTTTTTTTTTTTATGTATATATGAGAAATTATTTCTAAAAGTAATTTTAAAAAGTCAATTCAAACACACTTTTAGGACCTTATTTTTCATATTTAATTTAAGGTATTAATATTAGTCATTAGATTAATTTTAAAGTAAAATTTAAAGCGATCTCAACCGCAAATAACAAAAGTCATTTTGTTTATTTTTGAAAATTGAATTATACGTTATTTTATTATATAGATAAAAATTAATGATCACTCTCTTTCAACATTCTTACCATCGGAGACCTTGTGAGGAAGTGATTTTAGAATGACAGGATCCTAGGTGTCGCTCTTGAGGCTTTTACACTTCTAAAAATTACTACATTAGTATCAGACTGTTGTCTTGTTCTTAGAATATATATTAGATTTCCTTTGACATTTGGTCATATTTGAGATCAAAGAGCTGCAATCATTTAGACAACAGTACTTGGAGCAATTTTTGACCTTGCCGATCAGAGGTTTCGTAAAGCTGCTTAATAGTTTCTTCCATTCTCATAGCCCTCATCCCGTTCACCACCATTCCAAGTGTAGAGGTGTTAATCGAGAAAAATTATTCGGGTTTGGTTTGAAATCGACTCGCTCTTGATGAATTGAGTTTGAACTATTTTTTATGTTCGTTTAAAAAAACGAGTTTAAAAATAGTCGAGCTACTTGAGTTTGACTCGAATTTTAAACGAGTTGAATTTGAATAATTTTTTAGACTCGTTTAAAAAAACAAACTCGATAAACTCAAATTCAAGTTCAAGCTCGCAAAATTCGATTCGATTAACAACCTACCTAAGTGTTTGATCCTTACTTTTATGCTTCCTAGCTATTATTGTGCTAAGAAATGCAATCTTAAAAAAATAAAATAGATGGACGGACGGATGTTCTAAGGGGCTGTTTGGTAAGAGGGTATGGAGGGCTTGAGAAGATGAATTTGGGAGAAATAGTTCAAAGGACTCTTAAATCTCATGTTTGAATTACAAATTTAATCATAAATTATAAAACCCGGCTCGTAATTAGCTCGGATATTAAACTCATGATCATGAATTTCGTTAAATCTAAAGGGTGAGTTTTGAAAGATAAATTAAGGGTTAAGAATACAAAAAATAATTGTACCCTTAATATAAGTATAAATTAAATTGATCTAGTGGTGAAATAGTCATTTATAAGATTTATAGTAATTAACAATCATGATATATAGGTCGAATCTAGGTGTAAATATGTTGTATATCGAACATAAATATAAATTAAATATAATGTTGCATCATATTTTTATAAAGAAGAGATTGAGTTTAAAAAAATTTGAAAAAATTAATTCAAACCATTCTCAAAAATCATTCCAACAAAGTTGTAAGAATCTTCTACTATCGAAATTTACCCTAACATTATGTCTGCTGCTACCCAACTAGTTAACTACCAACCGACAAGACTGTCCACTTTTACAACTTGCGCAGGTGGAGGTGGATCGGCTTATTAAGAATAAGTTGGCTTATTATTCAAGCCCTATAAATAAGTCAATCAGCAAATTAATGCACATATCAATATATCTGACACAGTGTGTGTGAGTCACTTGAGAGTCGGAATTCGATGGAGGAAGAGCGCAATGATACGAAACTGCCGCTGTTGGATGGGTGGAAGCTCAGTGGGAGCGGGCGCCGTGGCCGACTCAGTCGCCGGAACTCGGTGAACTCGCTCAGAAACGATTTTATTGCGAGACTCCCCGACAAGGTCCGTTCCGTGGTTGATCTCGAGTCCTTCTCTCTTCACGATCTCTCCAAAATCCCTGACCTAACCCAAGGTCTCTCTCTCTCTCTCTCTCTCTCTCTCTCACACACACACACACACACACACAAACGTATGTAAAGATTGACTCGCAGAGTTATCAGGAGGATCCAATTGTGCGGATTTGGTTACAGTTAAGTGCATGTGGCTACGGTTTATTTTCTGATTAGAGAAAAAAGAAGAGAAATTTATCCTTCTCGTGGTGAATCGTGATTATATGTAATAGTTACTGTAAGCTTTGATCACAAATTGATGACGAAAATATGAAGTGTTTTCAGTTATAAATGATTGACAAACTTCATTTTAGCCTTTTATGGTTAGTATTGGCACATCACTCACTAACATTCGACCGAACTGAAGAGAGAGAGAGAGAGAGAGAGAGCGCCAGAACGATACCCAACACCCGCACATAATTGTATACACGTTGCGGCCACAAACACCAGTCATTGGTGGTTGGAAAACGAGCCTCTCTTTCCGAATAACCATCCTGAGTCAATATGGAGTCTTTTATTTTTCTGGTTTTTGTTCAATTGGATTTGAAGGTCTATGACCCAAAAGAGATTTAGCAATTCAAATATGATATTACTTTGTGCTAATGAGGCTTTCCTTTTTATTCTAAATCAAAAAGAGTTGGGTATTTGATTTTTTAAAGCATTTCTAGTGTGATTTTTTTATGGTTTTCTGTATACCGAGTCTCCACAAGGGTGCATAAAATTGGCCAGGTAAAGGATGAAAATTGTGACTATGCACTTGAATGGTTAGGTAACTATTTTTTAGGGTGACGAGTAATGTGCAGGGGTTCTAACTCTAATCATGTGGTAAAATAAGATTTGCTCATTTTAATGATTCATTTCACTTGATCTTTTTAGGTTAATGTCCATATGTGTATTGTGTCCTTTAATTTAATTTAGGATTTGAGCCAACTGCATTGAGGCATTAATCAGTAGGAATGACATAACCATGGTTATTGGAATTCATACTATACTTTTTATTGATCTTCAAAGAAGCATGTTTATTTCTATTATGCAAGTATTGATCACAATCAATACTAAGCATGCTATACTTGATTGAAGTCAATATTTTTGAAGCTTGTAGCAAGTAGATTATCACTACTAAATTTCCAGATCAGTTGCATCTCACATGAAGAGGGACACTCCATGTGCTGTAATATAGTCTACAAACTTCTCCATCTCCCTCTCTCTTACTTCTCTTCTTTTTTTTTTCCAACTTTACTCTTCCTAATTGTTTGAGTACTTCTTATTTGCAGGAGAAAAGGAATACTATGAGAGACAATTTACAACCTTAAAATCATTTGAGGGAGTTGATTCTGTGGTGACCTCTGAAAGCATTGATGAATATGATGATGAAGAACAAGCCCAACAGGAAAGAGCAATGAAGATATCAAATTATACAAACATCATATTGCTGGCATTGAAGGTGATTTATACCTAATACTTGTTTCACGTTCACTCTACATTTTTGTGATGTGACATTTAATAGGTATGTCCTGAGATTTGTTGGGTTATACACATTTTATAGTTATGTCCTCAGATGGTGTTGGGTGGTGCACATTTGATAGTTATGTCCTGAGATAGTGTTGGGGTCGGTTGGTGCACCTGAATTAGACTCTAAATCTTTAAAGTGTAAACAATATTTGTAAGTTATAATATAGCAACATCTCATTTGCCAATGCTTGAACCTTTTTTTAAGTGTTTCGTTAATTTGAACCACGTGTGTATGTTGTTTTGTTGAATAAATCGCTGTTTTCGAGGAAAAAAACCAAGTTTCTATGCAGAACATAACAGGAGACTGTTACTATTATATCAGGATGAATAACAGCAGTACATTTAAGTACCTCTTTATGACATCTTTATAATTTGAACTAACGATATCACTATGTTTTCTGGTTGTCACAATAATCCCTTGCATTTCATGGTGCAGATTTATGCTACCGTAAAAAGTGGATCCCTAGCAATTGCTGCATCAACACTCGATTCCTTGCTTGATCTCATGGCTGGTGCCATTTTGTGGTTCACTCACTTGTCAATGAAAAACGTGAATATTTATAAATATCCTATTGGAAAGTTGAGGGTGCAGCCGGTGGGCATAATAATCTTTGCTGCTATCATGGCTACACTTGGTATGCTATCAAATCTTTGACCAGCCACTACTTTCCAGTTAGATTTCCCAGTGAAAATTTCTTTTTATCTTTGGCTTCTGATCTGTTGCTGGAATAATACATGAAAAAAAAAAAAAAGTGTGGTACTTTTCTAGTGTTCTTGGCCACTTGCCAGAACACATTAAAGGCTAAGAAAGAAACGAGATGGGAAAGAGAAAGATAAATAAACAACTGTGGATTGATTATTGTCTAGTAGATATTTTTATGGGGAGTGTGACCATAGTTTGCTTGAAGTTTTAACTTTCTGTAAGATCAGTGTGGTATAGCGCTCAGGCAGCCATTTAGGTGAGAAGGCTAGGCATGATTGCAATTATCAGAATCCAACACTCCAAGCGAGGTGAGGCTAATGAGGCATCACCTAGGCAAGCACCTCATTTGGTTCAACAGGCGCTGGTTTACTTAAACTTCTTCATTGAAGGCAATCTTGGAACTTGAGGGCAGGGTTGTATTTGTAGCAACGGGGTAATAAACGAAAGGGCCCAGCTGGAGCCCATACCTAAATTTAGGACTGAAACCTCAAAGAAGAGAGAGAGACAGATGGTAAGCTAGGTCTAGAATATCAAAGAATAGGAAAAGAAGAACATCGAGTGAAACCTGGAAAGCAAGAAATGAAGCAATCATGAAGTAGAAACTGATGCATGATCCATAGGGGTGCTCTATCTGCCAACCTTATGAATCATCATAAAAGAGTCAGTTGGAATGATCAATCTGCGCACATTGTGATGGATAGCCTGAGCAAATAACATTCTAGTGTTACCTGAAGATTATTATGGCAATAATGATACTGCCTAACCTAGAGTAAGTAAATTCCTGAAGTTCAATGCCATGTTTAGTTAATTTATAAGTAGCTTGTTACTCAGGCAAGTGCTTTTTCATTGCCTTTTGCCTCGGTCATTGGTGGATTCCGATGCCTGTAGAGGGCTTTCACTCTTAACTACACTGCCTATATTATACTGCTATCAACTAATTGGGCTCTCTCCTTTCATGGGCGCTTTTGTACAGAAGGGCTAGAGGTAAACGTATTAAAAAGCAATGTGATATAATGTCAGAGTTTGTTAACATGCCTCTAAATGTGACATGTATGTAAATTATTCAATTGGTCAACAGTTACCTTTTTTTCTTTTTGAATGTGTCGCATTTTTCTCTTCTGATGTAAAAGAACTGCACAGGCTCCAACAACTCCTTTGTTAATTGCTCTCATAATTTCGAACATGTGGGAAGATTGAAACAGAACCATGTTTTGTACATTGTTCTCATGCGACTCAACATGTTATGGGACTTTTTTAATTTCTTAAATATAAACCTGTGTTAATTCTCTCATGTTATGGGACTTTGCACCCCCTCTATGCTTTGGTTGCATGCCCATGTCAGTTTTCTGGTAAACTTGGACTGTGGGATGTGTTTGTAGCAGACCAAAACCAGCAAGGCTCCTTAATTTCTGTACCGCAGGAGCTGAGAGATGTTCCTTCCCCTTGTTAGAGAAGGATACAAGCTGGAAGTGTCCATCTTTTGTTAAGCAATAAGAGTTATCCTTTTGTAGAGTTGATCTGAGTTTTTTTTTTTTGACAAGAAATGGGATTTCATTGAAAGGGGAGGAAAGAAAGCACAAGTTAAGGATACAATGGAGGGCAAGAGATCCTACCACGTACCCTAGTAAAATAAGAAAAACTTTAACTTTCCAGACATAATAGAACTACATTCCACACACTGATCTCCAATCCGAAGTTAATAGAGGGCAAGACATCGTACCAAGTACCCAAGTAAAATGGGAAAAAAGCTTTCCAAATATAATAAAAATGCATTCCACAATCTGAATTTATGCAAAAAAGACGGATATCCTCAAAATCTCTAGACTCTACAAAAAAGAAAAGAAACACTGGCTGGAATAACTCACTCAAGCCAATTGCAATAATACACAACAACGCCAATGCAACAGGACTATGAATCAACTTACTTTGTTATAAACTAAGCCATATTTTTCTTTCTTTCAATTGGCACTTTAGTCTGAAAGATTTTAATATGTTCAAGTTATGCACTGCAATTTACTGAGAAATGTTTATCCACACTCGCACAATCATAATACATCATATTTTAACCTCCTTTATAAAATTAGCACAAGTGCTTTCTTCTATAACTGTATGGTCTGGATGTGCCTTTGATACTGTATATCAAGGTGGCAGCTTAATTATTTTTTGCACTAAACTACACACAGCACACAATCCTTCTGTTTCTCTGGTTTTTTTTTTGGAAGGGGAGGGGGTTCAATACTATCTTATTTGTAAGGCAGGAATGGTGGATATCTGAATTCTAGGTGTACCCTAATATTCTATGTTTCGACATATTCGGTGAGCTAGCATTTATGCCCTATTTTGAACATTCTATGCCTCTTTCTCTCTCTCACACACAAACCCGCCAAACACATGAATAACAATCCTAACCTTTTTGAATTTGGATGGATACCTGAAGAAATGAAGTTCTTGTGATATATTAGCTTTTTTTTTCTTTTTTTCTTTTTAGGATTTCAGGTGTTGATTCAGGCCGTGGAAGAATTAATTCAGGATGAACCTCCTGGAAAGATGACGTCAGATCAATTGATATGGTTATACTCAATTATGATAACTGCTACTGTTGTAAAATTTTGCCTCTGGATTTACTGCAAAAACTCAAGAAACGACATTGTCCGTGCGTATGCAAAGGTGTTTCAAACGATATTTATTTTAAGTGTATTTCCAATCATTTTTCCATCCTTTTATCTTCTCATTTTCAGTTGTAATCCTTTTGGGGGGTCTGTTTGCCAGGATCACTATTTTGATGTGGTGACAAATGTAGTAGGATTACTTTCAGCCATTCTTGGGGATAAGTTCTACTGGTGGATTGACCCTGCTGGTGCCATTGTCCTTGCAATTTACACGATCTCAAATTGGTCCGGAACCGTTCTGGAAAATGCAGGTAGCTACTGCTTGCTCATCAACATTGATTTGAATTGATCATTTATTATTTGATCAAAGTAAAAGGTAGGAAGTATGCAAAGAACCTTAATCCTTTATATTTGAGAATTTTCGGTGTCAAAACTTTCTTTAGCAGTTACATGCTGTTACAACTCACCCAACCTTTTTGTTCATGAGCAATTTTTACCCCCTACACAATTATAATTATGGGTTATTTATCATTTTTGAAGTTTCTGTATGGCTGGTCCTTCGTAGAAAGATGACTTATAACTTGTGTTCTGGAAGTGTTAGTGTCATGATGTTTGTCAGAGGACCATTTAAAGAGTCATCTTGTTGCATTATATGAAATTGTAAATGATCTGATTTTTACATGGTTTGGGATCTTGTTGGTTGGACTCTTAAATTTAGTTTTTTCTAGGTTGATACTAAATGTATTCTTTGATTGATGTTCTTCCCTGAATATAGGGAGAGGTGGGTTGTGGTGTCCACCCATAAATTACCCAAACATCCTTTATTTTTTCCACTTTAACCTCAGTACCTCACATAATTTTGTGCACTTAACTGTATTTAACCACCCTTTTGACTACTCATAACTTCCATATCTCTCCTCACTCACATATTTCTCTCCTTTGCTAACTCCCTATTTTATCTTTTTTTTTATATCACGCACACGAATAATCTTGTGCAGGAGCCGCTAGTTTAATAGGAGCACTGGCCATTTAGGGAATAAAATGTGCATTGTTTCCCTTCAGGCAGTCGGAGTGGTCTCATTTTTTGTCAGATTTCAACATGTACTTAAAGCTGAACCCATCATCTGCCGCTATCTAACTTCAGAATGTTATGGGAAAAGAAAGTGAATTTTTATTCAGTCTAACATGCCTCATGTAACCTCCCCCAACCCTCTAATTCACTACCACTAATTTCAGTTTTTTTAAGAAAATTATTTATATCACCCCATAAATTACAATAATTCTCTACCAAATATCCCAGGTGAGGTGGTGGGGGACTGGGTAGTGTCGGAGAGAGATTATAAATCAACTGTTCCCCTTGGGTCTGCCACTGGTGTTGATCTATGTGCATCTTCAGTTAGCATAAAAACCACTTGGCTGAATTGCATCTGAGTTTCCAGATTTGGCAATACTCAACTTGGCATTATTTTTTTAAATAATTCAGGTTTTGTGATCCAAAGTTGATGATATATTCAGGCATACTTGACAATGCTTTACACTGCACCTCCTCCTGATATTCAAGTCTACGTGTTTTAATCTAAGATGTGATTTTTGTTGCAGTGTCACTCATAGGACAATCAGCCCCTCCTGAGGTATTGCAGAAATTGACATATCTTGTCATAAGGCATCCACAAGTTAAGCGTATTGACACTGTCCGCGCTTACACTTTTGGCGTTTTGTACTTTGTAGAGGTTAGTCTGGCTTTCTATATTGATTCTAGAGAGTGCTGGCAAATGCATAGGTTTTTTATAGTTATATGATTTTAGTTATACACATTTAGAAAGTCCTATGTTTTAACAGTTAGTGAGTGAAATTATTTTTTTGGCCAAATAGGTTGACATTGAACTCCCAGAAGAGTTGCCTTTGAAGGAAGCACATGTCATAGGAGAGACCCTACAGATAAAGATTGAGAAACTTCCTGAAGTTGAACGTGCATTTGTTCATATTGATTACGAGTGCTATCACAAACCAGAGCACTCTGTACTTATTAGGCTGCCTGACAGTGAGCCTTGATGTTTGAGTTCACTATGTACACACCAAAACCCTTTTTCAAAATCCTCATTCCGGCTATAATTTGTTTTGCCATCCGGCAGAGGAAGGGGCGGGTTGCAGACGGTATAATAACCACCTGTTCTTGAGGTTTGCCCATGAGAAAATGTGATGCTTGATGCTTTGGAAAATGGTAGCGGCGTGCCACACGGGACACTACCATATTGGAGATCATAGGATCAAGTCATGCTAAAGGTAGAGAGTTTTCTTATCTTTCTTTTTTTGGGGTGTTTTGTTTTCTGTTTTTGGAGTGTAAATCAATCATAAACATCAATATTTTATGCTGTAATGTGAAGACATGGCCTATCAATGTAGAAACTAGCCTTGACTTTTAGAGGTGATTGCAATGTGGCTTGGACAAAGGTTGTTTCCTAAAATATAGGGCAACTGCTAGCAGGGGTCAAAATCCTCCTCGCTACCCCCCCACCAAAACAAAAAAAACAACTGCTAGCAGGGCGCTCGGTCGGTGCTCCTTTCTCAAACCAAAACAATTCTAAACGTTAGGGAAGACCACCTAAACAAACCGATCGAAAGGGACTCCCTTTTTCAATCCTTATTTTAAAGAGTTATATGAAATGAATCCGACATTGGTGTTAATGAGTTTGAGATGGAGATTTTTGACATGGTTAGTTAATTATGTCCTGTTTGGTTGACATATTTAATAAATCAGCCGTGATCAATTTTTTAACATTTTTTTTTTGGAAGGCAATTTTTTTTTTTTTTTTAACATTAAACCTGCATAACTTGTTTATGTTACAATGGATATAACCAGTGGCGCAAATAGGACTCATTAAAAAGAAGTTCATATAACATTTTGTCGTTTTAATGCAATATACATCATTCATATTTTAGATACAAATATGGAAGTTGACATTTTTTTTTTGGATAATCTATAATGTATACCTTTAAAGTATGCATTTATATGGTCCCTCAAATTTCAATTGAAACAATTACATTCTTAAAGTTTTAATCGAGTTTCAATAAAATTCTTTCATCTAAATCTATTAATTTGTTTCAACGAAAGGGTGTCACTAGATTTACCTATAAGGGTATATTTGTCTAAAGAAAAATATGTGTCTCAAATACATTGGTACTTCTCTCTCTATATTTCACAGTATTTCTCAAATTTTCATTCTGTAGTTTTCTTTTTTAGTCTATTATCTTTTTTTTCTAAAAATCAGATAAAATAAAATAAGATTTTTTAGCCTACGCTACACACATAAAAAAAAAATTTACAGGACAAATATAATTTTTTACAAAAGTCATGTATTAGTCGTAGAAAGGTCATTTTGTCATAATAAATTAGTTAATTTTGATGCAAGGATTAAATTAAAATTCAATTAAACCTCTACGAATTTGATTTTTAAAATTAAAATTTTAAGGGCTAAATAAGAATTTAGTGCAAATTTTAAGAGTGTAAATTATAATTATTTTATTTTCCAACCGAGGAAGATCCCTCCCCCAGTGGAGAAGCAAAGAGCATCGTGGACTTGTGATGCACACAAAGGACAAGTTTGACGATATAGACATGTGTAAGATTGACATTTGCTTTTTGAGTTTGCCAAATTAGCCATGCAAGTTGACTTTTGGTTTTGCTTCTAGAGCACATTCCCCTACTTTGTATAAAATATTTTATTTTTATTTTCCCATTATATTTGCCTCATAGAACTTTTACCAATTATAAAACTTAGTGTTCATATGAGATATTATTTAGTTTAGTTACATATATACTTCATATTTTGTTTCATAGATTTTATGCAAATTTTCATCATCAACATTTTTTCACGTGTAACACATATGAATTGACACATTTTTCTCACAAATATGTGCCATGCCATATTGAAGACAAAAAAATAAAAAGAAAAAAAGAATAGCCCCATTTACGTGATACATTTGATTCAATTGAACAGCCGTTGCTTCTGATAAAAAAAAATAATAATAATACAAGAACAATCATGGTAAAGACATAAATATTAAAATTAAAAGGGTTTTTCTAACTTTAAACTCGAAAGATGTCTCAATTCTCATTTTATACTAAAAAACAATTATTTTTTTATATTACATCCTGAATGTTATAAATTAGTTTCAACGTGATCTTCAAACTAATATTCGTTTCTGTTCGAACATAGAAATCTCCGCTCGGACGGTTCTTGCTTATAGTATCTCACCCTTTTATTTTTCGTTTTGACGGATACAACTTTATGTCGAAATTTGCAAGACAGTTTTGACCTAGTTAAAGATTGATTCACAAATTTTCCATGAAATACACTGTTCTAGTTCTTGAAGTCTTCTTTTCAATACCGCAAGAAAATGACTCAATCAGACATTGAGGCAAAAATGTATGATAAAAATACTGAAGTAGTGTCAAATTTCTTTTTACCCTAATTCTCCAAAAATGTGTTTAAGCTCTAAAATACCTACAAACTTATTTTCTTCGACTTTAAACCTCTAAAACAATCTTGAGTGATATTGGAACACTTTAGATTCGACTTAAATCACCAATATCTCAATCAATAACCATATTTGATCTCTTAAAGAATAAAGTACCTGAAACACCTAAATTACCATCTCACTTATCTGAAACTCTATACAAGTCAGACATTTATCCCAATATTTTTGTAACTTTTGGATTCAATAGTAATATTATTTTAACTTATTTTTTTTTTAAGAAATCTATCTAGTTACTCTTCTTAAGCCTAAATGCCTCTAAAATTAAATTTGACTCGAAAGTTAATATGCACGAAACTCAAATTTTATGACTATTTTTTCAGCAAAGATTCAAAATTTTTAACATTATTTTAGTTATTTTAGAATAAAATTTAAGATAATATTATTCATATTTAATTATAATATAAGTTGTTTCAAGATCGTAGATTGTGTTTTTTCTTTTGCGATTTAGTTAACCGCGCCCTCAGTTGTTGGTTGGCAAGCCATCACTTCATTGCCAGATTAAGATATGCTTCAAATTTTAAAGAGTAAAAACTGAAAAAAGTGTATTATTATAATGGATATGTTTTGCACCTTATTACAAATCCAATAGGATGGATACATTTTTCTTTTGGGTTAGGGTATCTCATGCCTCTATTTTTTATTTTTGTGTGACAAAAAATCTTTTTCAGGGTCATATTAGATTTATTTTTATATAGAGTAAACTTCGGATATATGTAATTACTAATTTGAGAGTCACTAAGGAGGATCAAACATAAAATATCTGAATTTACCGATTGCTTAAAATTCAATAACTTACCATTGTAGTACCCAGTATGGGTTTTACGCCTCCATTTTGTACTATGGTATCAAAATTGATTTTGTCTTTATTTGTTTGTAACTATTAATCATAAAAATAAAAAATAAATTAACAAATAAAATATAAAATTGTACACACATCACATTTTTATTAGATATAAAAAAGAAGTATTGTAATTGGATATAAAAAAGAACTCTTAAAAACTTTCTAGGAAACTAACTATATATCAAATATAAGAGACTCATTTGTTTTTTACTTAAATCAAAGGAGATTTAAATTTATATTAAAATTTTTAATAGTGAGATTACACCATTCTTTAAAAATTTAATTATCACTTTTTATTTTATTTTAAATTTAGTTTTGTTCTCATTTAAATTTGAGTTTTTTCATTGGAGAGGTATATATCAAATCAAATTTTTTATCTTTTTTTTATTTAAATTTGAATAAGGGTTTAAATTTTCATTAAATGCGATTCTTTGACATTTCAGAGTGTGTTGATTAAATTTTGTGGCATCGAGAGTCGTGGAGAGAAAATAATATATTTGAGTGACAATGAATTTTATATCATTAGATGAAATAAGATAAAAATTGAATTAATCTCGACCATTGTTATATTTTTATAAATGTGCAATTTAAATTATTGGCTGTAAATTGATAAATGGATGGATCGGAAATCTGCCCATTATATTGTAAAAATTATATTAAAAACCAAAAAGGTTAAAAAAAAAGAAAAAAAGGAGAATTGAAGTTTGTTTGGATATTTTGGGAAGAGAAAAAGAAGGGGGGAAAAAAAGAACAAAAGAAAAGGGGTTGTTCTGTCTTATTCTGTGGATGAATCTGAGAGTAAAAAGAGAAAAAAAATTACCTAAGTTGGAGAGAGAAAGCGACAGATAGGAATTGGGGGCTAGGAGAGAGAAAAGTCTCTGCAAAAGAGCTTTGACTCTCTCTTTCAACATCCATGGCGGATTTACAACTTGAATCCATCTTTTTACCCTGCCGTCACTTCCCCAACCACCCTTTTATTTCTATCTTTAACTAATTAATTCAATACTTTGACCTTCAAACCCATCTGCGTTTTCTCAGTTTTTCCCAAAAATCCCAAGAAAAGGAAAAGATCCAAGGTGGGTTATTCTCTGCAACATTTCATTTTAGGTACCTTCATGGCTTCTGGGTTTTCTTGATATCTCTGCAACTCTTGTTTTTTTTGGATCTTTTTGTTGTTTTTCTAGCCAATATATTTGTTTTTCAAGCATTTTGATAATGTTCCGGAGTTCTTGGAGATTTCTTCCAAAACCTGCCTGTCTCTGTTTTCTTGGCTTGTGGATGTTTTTTGGATTTTTTCTTGGGAAAGTCCAATATTTGATTGGTTCTTTTCTATATTTCTCGTGGTTCTTCAAAACTGTGGGTTGGATTCGTATTGATTTTCTTGATTTATGCTCAACATACAATTTTTCAGTGGCAATTCTAATATGATTCATTGGGTTTCCTTCAGAATCTCCGGGATATAGGTAAATATCAAGATTTGAACCTTTGAATCATGGGAAATTGCTGTGTGGTTCCTGTTGGTTCTTCAGAGAAGAGGAAAAAGGAAAAGAAAAAGAACAAACCCAATCCATTCTCAATAGATTACCATGCAAATCATAGATCTGGAGACAAGCTTGTTGTGTTAAAAGATCCAACGGGCCGTGACATTAACCAGAGTTATGATCTGGGTCGTGAGCTAGGTAGAGGTGAATTTGGAATCACATATTTGTGTACAGATGTGGATACAGGCGAGAAATTTGCCTGCAAATCAATATCGAAAAAGAAGCTTAGGACTGCTGTGGATATTGAGGACGTGAGGAGAGAGGTTGAGATTATGAGGCATTTGCCTAAGCATCCCAATATTGTCAGCTTGAAGGATACATATGAGGATGACAATGCAGTTCACATTGTCATGGAATTGTGTGAGGGTGGAGAATTGTTCGATCGGATCGTGGCGAGGGGGCATTATACAGAGAGGGCGGCTGCAGCTGTCATGAGGACAATTGTGGAAGTTGTTCAGGTACAAGATTGACCAATTTTTACGTTGTTAAATTGTTGTAGGCTTAAATGTTAATTGGATTATGTATCATCTTGGAATTGGGTTTTTTTGTTATTTACTAATTTGCATATGTTTGTTGAATTAGGCTATATTGTTGTTGTTGTGGGTTTTGTAATATTTGTTCATTATAGAATTACATACCCTGTTAATTTTGTTGATAAATAAAATCTTTTTTTTAGTGTGGAGCTAGATTAGTTTGTGGAGAACCTTGTTTGTTGAAGCTGTACTTGATACTAGGAAATTTAGTCTCCATTTAATGGGTATTGTACTTGGCTGCGTATGTTCATTATGTTCCTAGAAGTTGCTGTATATACCTATGGGGTAGCACTAAGATATCGAAAAGTAAATTTTCAGCACCACATCTCGTCTTGTTGATCAATGAGAGTGTGACATGAGTAATACCTTTGCATCTTATTCTTTTATTTGATTTATTATTTTTGCAATTAATGGCTACAAATTAATTCAACCAAAAATCGATGGTTGAAAATGACTTGTTGGTGAGGTTACTTTTTGGTACTATAATGTCACTCATAAATATATGTTTCCACATGCTGAAAATTCTTGAATGTGACTAATTTTATTCTTTAATGGTCATATACACTATCATGTGTCAGCTAAAAGTTTGCTTTCAATCTTTTCAGCAAATGTACACCTTTGCAGGTTGTTTTTATGCTTTTCTTTCATTTCTCTTTTCTGATGTACTAGATTTATGATTTATCCCATTGGCTCTGTAATAGTTCTCAAATGCTTCACTAGCTTTGGCCTTTCCATGGTGTTCACCAGTCCAGGTTACTCTGGCCTTTCATGCGATCTTCTTGCGGGAGTATTTTGTTGTCTTATAAGTAGCTTTTTCTAACCTTGAGTCTTTGGTATCAGCAGATCATGAATCTGTCTTTGTCTCTGTCTCTCTGCATGTGTGTGTGTTTGGCTCATTGTTTGTCACTGATCATAACTAGGTTATATAAATTGGGTGGTACTAGCCCCTTTTAATTAAGCTTGTTCCTTTTTGCGAATCGTAGTTTATGCTTCCTATGAATTTCAGATGTGTCACAGGCATGGAGTGATGCATCGGGATCTCAAACCAGAGAATTTTCTTTTTGGAAACAAGAAGGAAACAGCACCCTTAAAGGCAATCGATTTTGGGTTGTCAGTTTTCTTTAAACCTGGTAATGAATTGTCCCAATTGCTTTTATTTTTTATGACTCAATTGCATTTATAATGCATTCAGAACATTTTCTTTGCCAAGCTGAATTGGAAATATCAGCATTAGGTGCTTAACGTCATAATTGTATTTTTGTATGTTTTTCCCTACTATACCTTAAGTTGCATAATTTCTACAGGACAGCGCTTTACGGAGATAGTGGGAAGTCCTTATTACATGGCTCCAGAGGTCCTAAAACGTAATTATGGCCCAGAGGTTGATGTCTGGAGTGCTGGAGTTATCCTATACATTCTGCTTTGTGGTGTTCCACCTTTCTGGGCAGGTGTGCTTCTTTAATTCCAACAATTGCAGTACCTTTGCTATATACTTTTTTTTTTTATAGGAAACGGGAACTTTGCATTAATTAAAAATAAAAAGTACATCAAAAAATTGGATTAGGAATCCAACCAAGTAGTAGAAAAAAAAAAACAACGGAAAAGGATAAAAAAATATAAAAGTCTAGAAATTAGATGAAACTCTCCAATCCGCTAAAATAGTAAAAAGCGGAATTCCTTTAAAGTTGCTGGTTACTGATGTCCAAAAAGACACTAATACATAAGTGCGATCCCATAATATTTCCATCCATTTGTGTTGATCTTAAAATATTTATGCATTTCTTTTCTTCTAAATAACCCAAAATGTAGCAAAAATAGCACAATGCCAAAGTGTCACGCCTCTATCAAGTCTCCCAGGACCTTTCCAATCTTCGATAAATAAGGATACACATAATTCAGGAATCACCCAACTCATGCTTGCAGACCAAACAACTTATTCCACAAGGACATAAGAATAGGGCACTGTAGGAATAAATGATCAATGCTTTCCAAAGCAGTTTTACTTAACACACACCATTGTGGGGAAAGACAGGTACGAGGTCTTCTTTTTGAAGGAAATCATTGGTCTTAATCTTATCATGTGCCACAGTCCATGCAAACACCTGTACTTTAATTGACGCCTTAGCCCTCTATATCATTGAAGTTAGGGCAAAAATAGGACAAGAAGGATCATCCACTAAAGAATCAAAGAAGGATTTACTAGAAAAGACACTAATCAAGAATCGAAAGAAAAACTATCAAATCCCTAGTGTCTTTATCATCTAAATTCCTACGAAAACTAAGTCCCCAGAGTCTGGATGATTGTAGACCGAATCATAGCGGAACGAATGTGCCATCAGAATTTGACAATTGATAGAGACATAAAAACAAAGATGAAAAAGATGACTCCTCAACCTATGCATCCTCCCAAAAATGAATTCTCTCCCCATTACCCACTTTTAATTTAAGATTTTGGGAAAACCTCGTTACTCCCTGGGATATAAACTTCCACGGGTATTGAAAACTTTTCCTTTTAGCCCTATTAGCGTCTCATCCATCAACTTATAATCCATATTTGTTCTTGATAATCAAATGCCATAGTGAATTTTGTTCCAAAGGAAATGTCTAAAGCCACTTACCCACAAAAACAATATTTCTTGCCTTTAATTTTTCGATTGAAAGACCTCTTTTATCCTTAGATCCCGACATTACCTTCCAACTAATTAAATGATCATTCCTTTCGTCATCAAATCCTTCACACAAGAAATCACTCATCATTTTTTTCAATCTTTATAGCTATTTTCTTAGGAAGTTTAAATAAAGATAAAAAATAAGTGGGAATACCAACTAAAATAGATTGTACTAATGTTAACCTACCCTATTTGGAAATAAAAGCTCTCGACTACTTGCTCCCAAAAAGATAAAAGCAATGGATTTCCCCTCAAAGGCAAACCTAAATACTTCAAAGGCCATGCCCCCACTTGACACAACTTTTATCCATATTTACCTTCAAACTTGACATCAATTCAAACACCTCCACAATATTCTTAAAATTGACAATTTTTTCTTTATCTGCCACACACAAAAATATTGGATCATCAACGAACTGCAAGTGAGAAATAAAATATTATCCCTCCCTACAATAAATCTTTCCACAAGATTACAACTCTTCGCATGCCTCACTAACCTGCTAAGTCCATCAGCAATCAAAGTAAAGAGAAAAGGAGATAAGGATCCCGTTGTCTCAAGCCTCTAGAAATCTTAAATCTACCTATAGACTTCCTTTTAAGCATAACAGAGAAATTCATAGATCCTAACACCCCCTAATCCAACTTCTTCATCGACCACCATAACCTTTCTCTCTCCTCTACGGCATAGTCCAAAAAATTCCAATCCACGCCTTCTCAAAATCAATTTTAAAGACAAAACCCTCTATTTCTCTAGATTTATAATCATCGATAATCTCATTTGCCATGAGAGCTACATCAAGAATTTGTCTATCCTCTACAGAAGCTCGTTGACAATCAGAAATAGGATCACTAAGAGACTATCTTAATCTCAAAGATAATACTTTTGCAATGATTTTATATAGACTAGTGTTACCATAGCCTTTCTCCTCTACGACATAGTCCGAGAAATCCCAATCCACGCCTTCTCAAAATCAATTTTAAAGACATATGGCAAGCCCCATTGCATGAAAAGCACAAAATGATCTTGTGGCGACTAGCAGCTGAATGCCTTCCAACAAAAAGCCTTCTGGCAAGTCGATTCCCTATTGAAGATGTCTTATGCTCCATCTGCAAACAATCCACTGAAATGGATACCCATTTGTTCTTCCAATGTCCACTGGCCAGAATGATTTGGTTCACCACATGAGGGTTGTGCACTGATTCTTATGCCCATCTAAACATCCAAGAATGGAACACAACATTATCAATCCCACATCTCTATTTGGCCCAAATGGCCTACATAGCTCCAGTTTTGTCCTATTTACAGCCATTCTAGCAAACATTATCTGGAGACAGAGGAATGAAGTGCTATAACAGAAGGCAAAAATCTCACCTCAAGTTTGTTTACAAGAGGAGCTCAATAGCTTCAATGAATTCATGGCAGTGAAAGCCCAATCTGTTCAATATAACGCAGCACAAGAAAGTCCTGGTGGCAATCTCTTTTAGAAATGGAACCCCCAATATGAAGGAGAGATCAAAATTAATTTTGATGCAGCAATAAGTAATTCAGGGTCTTGTTTAGCAGCATAGCAAGAGAATCAGACGGGACAGTAATTGAAGCAATCCTTCAAACAAGCACAGAAGACGACCCTCTTGCTGCTGAAGCTTTGGCTGCTCACAATGCTGCATTATGGGCTCACAGTAAGGAATGGAACTATGTAATTCTGGAGGGAGATTCACAAACTGTCATCCATGCAGCAATGCTAGACCACATCAAGCCACATTGGTCTATCTCTTCAATAATCTACAACCTGAAACACCTACAGAGGTTACACAGAACATGGAGAATGTCTCACACTCGAAGAACCGCTAATGTTGTCACGCACGAACGAACTAGCCAAATGGTGATTACAGATGCAGAATTCAGGCAGTCTCCACTCTGAAGAAATACCTTGCAAGGTCAAAGAATGTGTGCTAAAGGAAAAATTGGGAAGACCTCTAGACAGTTATAGTACAGGTTCTTAAGTACCCTTGTATCTCACCTTTTTTTGTAGCAAAAAGAAAAGAAGGGATAGTTTTGGGGAATCACTCACCAAGCAAGGGACTCACTCACCTTCAAGAGAGGAATCATTCAATTCTCAAATGGAGGCTCAAAGCACTCAATCACAATTTTCATCAAACAAAACTCTATCTCCCTTATTCCAATTGCAAGCATAAATACTACGAAGAACTATAGGCAAACAACACTAACTATTACATAGGCAAAAGGTATTGTTCTCTTGGAACCACTCATTGACTATAGGGACTTGAGTTCCTTGAAAGTCCACCACCTTAATAAAAGCTCATTGGAAAATGTCGTTCACTATTTGCGTTGTTTTGACTGCGTCATGTTTAAGTGGGATCTTCATGCAATTACAGCACATATTTATTCTGGTTTTGGTTCTCCAAATTTTGTATTTTTCTTGCAGAAACTGAACAAGGAGTAGCACAAGCAATTATTCGCTCTGTCATTGATTTTAAGAGAGATCCATGGCCTAAAGTTTCAGACAATGCAAAGGATCTTGTAAAGAAAATGCTTGATCCTGACCCAAAGAGCCGGCTTACAGCTCAGGAAGTGCTTGGTAATGTAGATTAAATTCGTGTTTCACACCTGTTGAAATTATTACTCATTGTGAATAAAGTGCTGAATTACTTTTTTCGATTTTGTTCATATTTTGTAAATGCAGAGCATCCGTGGATACAAAATGCAAAGAAGGCTCCAAATGTCACACTGGGCGAAACTGTGAAAGCAAGGCTTAAACAATTTTCAGTGATGAACAAGCTCAAGAAAAGAGCTTTAAAGGTAACAAATTGATAATTCAAATTTCTCCAAACTGAATCGAGTTCTTCATAACTATAAACAATCATGTCTGAACTGTTGTGTCATAAGTCTTGGCTTGACACTTCTATGATTCCTCTGTATTTTTCTGAACGGGCATGATTTCTCCTTGATTATTGAACTTTGAATGTCATGTGACAGGTGGTGGCTGAGCATCTGTCGGTGGAGGAAGTGGCAGGAATAAAGGAAGCATTCGATATGATGGACACCAGCAAGAGGGGCAAGATAAATCTTGAGGAGCTCAGAAATGGTTTGCAAAAGCTTGGTCACCAGATCCCTGATGCAGACCTTCAAATCCTGATGGAAGCTGTAAGCATTGTCATGTGTCCTATCCTACAATTTTTTCCCTTCATATTTTCTTTTATTATGACATCTGACTTTGGATTATTAATTATGGTGTACTGAGCTACTGATTCTCCTACACTGATTGCAATGTTGGTACATCACTTAAACTCTGCCTCTTCTCAACTTAGATAATAGATGACATTGTGCTCAATGAAAGAAACAGCTAACTGATATGTTCAGTATATGTGACAAAAATTGAGAAGAGAGAAAAGTAGCAGAACTGAGGACAGGAAGAGAACAAAGTGGGGGAGAAACAGAGAGTAAGGAGAGAAAACACTCTAACTCTGTTATGTTCAATAGTCAATACCAAAATTGAGTCTTCCATTACATGAGGCCTATATTTATTGACAGTCCCCAAAAATAAGTACATCAAAAATTACGAAAAATAATAATAGTATTCATAGTCATAAATTCAAAAGAACAGACTGAAATAAAATCCCTAAAATTAATCTCAATGCCATGTATCCAATTCCCTTATGTTGCCCACTCATAAGCCTGTATCTAGCGGCAAATAAAGTCATCTGAGTGTTTTAAAAGTTTTATTCCCAGAACCTAATGAGTTTGACATGTTTTTTGTTTTCTATTCGTCTATAGTTCATTTGTATTTCCGTCATCCCTCTCTCTATCTCTTTGGTTCTTTATTTTCAACTTTACTAAATTTGGGAATCACTTGAAACAGCTTTGTTTTGCACTCATTGGTTGTTACATAATTTCTACAGGCTGATGTTGATAGAGATGGAACTCTGAATTGTGGGGAGTTTGTTGCTGTTTCTGTTCATCTTAGAAGGATGGCCAATGATGAGCACCTACATAAAGCTTTTGCATTCTTTGATCAAAACCACACTGGTTATATAGAGATTGAAGAGCTGCACGATGCCTTGAATGATGAAGATGAGATTAACAGTGAGGAAGTTATCCAAGCCATTATGCATGATGTTGACACAGATAAGGTCAGTGCCGATCTGTACATAGACAAATATCATTCGGATATTTTGCCTCTTTATGAGGACCGTCTCTTATATTGCTTTTATTTTATTGTTGGACATGACCAAATGGGCATACCTAGTGCACGAGGCTCCCGTCATTGCAGGGTCTGAGAGGGTTAGATATACACAGCCTTATCTTTGCAAGCACAGAGACTGTTTTCACAACTCGAATTCATGACCTTTAGGTCACAATGGAGCAACCTTACCGTTGTGCCAAGGCCCACCCTCTTATTGCACATGACTAAATCACCTTTTAATTTACTCTTTTTGTTTCCTGTAGTTGCAACTTCTTATCTTCTTCTATTTGTATAAGTAGAGGTCTCTGCTCTTGCATATGTGGGAATATACCCTTGTCATGTTTTTGATTGCATAAATGTGCCTCCTATATAGATGTGATCCTTTATTTTTTTTTTTTGGCTTCCCTAGTATTTGATGTCATGAATACAACTCAGTGACAGTCTTTTATTTGTGTTGGAAAATTACTTTTATGTGCTGTGTATGCATCACATATTTTGTCAACGCATTAGGAGTATCATATATTCCTATAAATTTATTCCACTTGACTCTATATTTATATCATCTTTAGCGTTGATGTGATATAGGATTCAATCAGAGTGACAGAAATGCTCAGATGCATATTTATTGGTCATCATCGGGAAGATGTCTTCCTTCTTATGTGTGCATTTTTAGTGCAAGTGTCTTGAAACTTTCAATTCTAGCTTTTGAGGGCTTATCTTCGGTATTTTGCTTTTGAAGGTGGGGAGTTCAACTTGGTTTCATTTTGTTTGACAGGATGGGCGCATAAGTTATGAGGAATTTGCTGCAATGATGAAGGCAGGTACAGATTGGAGGAAAGCATCGAGGCAATACTCACGAGAACGATTTAACAGTCTCAGCTTAAATTTGATGAGGGATGGCTCGCTACATTTAACCAATGGAGGTAGATGAACAAGAAAAAGGTGAAGAAAAACGTATTACAGAAAGGTAAAGAACAATCAGAAAAGGATTGTACCCTTTTATGATTTTTTTGTTGAGTTCTCAATGTTAGTGTTCTGTTCTTAATTTTTTTCCCTCCCTTATAAAGAGACCTTGGGGATTAGTAGGACCGAGATTTGCTATGTCTGTTCAAGTAGATGTTTTTTGGGTTTCTTTTGCTTTGAGGGAGTTGTAGAAGAGGAAAATATTGTAACACAAGGGGAAGTGAGGTGGTTCTTGTGTTGTAAATATGCAATTAGGTTCATTGGTCATTTTCAATAGAGGTGGTAGCATCTAACTGCTGCTCAGCTGTATCTATTTGATGATGACGTAAGTAGACACTTGTGGCCATGATCAATTTGAACATTTTCTTTGCATTTGGTCAATTATAACAACAGTTCCCGGTATATTGTAACACAAGGGGAAGTGAGGTGGTTCCTTTTCTTTGCATTTGGTCAATTATAACAACCGTTCCCAGTGTAAGTTGTAAGCTTGGTTGCTTGTTGTACTTGGAAATTAATCTACCTATCATTGGGGTTTTTGTTGTGAAATTGATAAAATATTAACTAAATATAGAGGGCAGTACACTAAATATATAAAAAAAATAAGTTATTCACGAACTTAATGTATCGAAGTGTTGATCTTCAAGATCACCCTCTTTCTTTTCTTTATCCTTTCTTTCTTTTGTTTTTGTGTCATTCTCATTCAGCTGATGCCTTTTTATATGCAAATTATACATGTGGTTTTAAAGCCATGGCAAAGAGAGGGAGGCAACGGTGTTAATGTCACCTCATTTATGTTCTGTTTGGTATGATAAAAAAATAGAAGAATGAAAAGTTGGAGGGATAAATAAAACATCATATTTAGTAAGGAAATAAAATATGAATGATGGAAAAGTGTAACTCACCAAAATTAATTCATCTAAAATCAAAAAGAAAATGGATGGAAATTTAATTATTTGTGTTGAGATGTATTTTATTTGTCTATATATTATGTATACATTAATTTCATATAAAAATACAATGATAAAATATGTATTTATATCTATATTAAAAAAATTTAATAATAAATTTTAAAATAAAAAATAAAAAAATTTTAAATTTTAAATTAAAAAAAATATTTTTTCATTTTAATTATGAGTGAAAATTTTTGACTCAATACGATGACATGACTCGAATTCGATACAAATTTTATGACATGAACTTGATTATAACTCAACACGAACTTGAAAATGATCTGACAAGGCAATAAGAAATATAAAAGATTCACAATTTTATGATTCAACACGAATTTGACACGACACGACTTGATTGTTACCTCTAATTTTAGCTAGCACAAAAAAAAAATTAAATATTTTTATTTTTCATCCATCCAACCAAACACAAAAGAAGAAAAATGTATCATTCTAATTTTCATCTTTGAAAGATAAAAAATGTATCTCACATATTTTTCATTATTGCTACCATTTTGAAGTAAAGTTGAGGTGGGACGAAGAAAAATAAAGGTGGTCATCCACCCTAAAAACTTTACAATACTTCCCCTCGGATCATTAACATTTGGTGGTCATCCACCCTAAAAACTTTACAACACTTTCTTTTGGATCATTAAAATTTTGTTAGAAAAATTCAGTGTGATAAAACTTGAACAAGGAAAAAGAGTGCGACGTGCAAATTATTCGTTATTTTGATATGGATGCTCCCCTAATGAGATTCTCTCCCTGATAAAAAAATTAATTGAGCTAGTCACAAACTTGACGTATTTTGATACTGTATACCAACTTTTTGAATGTTAATGCGGATACAATTTTAGTGAATAGATCTGTAAGATTATTACTTGAGCGTTTCTGCTTTACTTTAATTTCATGACTCTACATAGAAGAATTTTGTTGATATATATGCTTGATTCTATAGTTGAAGCGAGTCCACATGCACTTCGGATGTGATGGATTATAATTCTCGCTATACATATTCACGACTTGTTCTATGGAATACGAGTGTCTCAGAATGATTAGATGATGTAACAATCGAAGTCTATTTTATAGGTCATCATAAAATTGTTGTATCACCACATATGAATATATACCTGATTTGTGAATGACCTTGTGAGTATTAAAGAGATATCAAGAATCTACATATCTTATTAAATTTGGACCATTAATCGATTTCTTTAAATATAACAAACTTAAATCTATAGTTTCATAGAAATAATGTAGGATATATATGAATGTCGAGTTGGCACAAAGTTAAACCTTGCCAATAAATTTGTAGCAAACTTTATATCAAGCCTAGTACATTATGTTAAGTATAATAAACACCTACCGAACTTAAGTGTGATATTTCAGAATCAAGAACATTTCATCGTCTTTTTTTGACAATAATAAGAATTTCGATTTATTTTAATATATTCAAGTCAATTACATATGTTATCCTCTCTTGCTGTCACCACCGTAGAGTTTTCCCTCGTTTCCCGTGATTCTAACATTGGGCAGCATGCTCATCTTCTTCCCGTGACTCCAGTCGTACTTTGCCATTCCAACAACACTTCCCTCATTCTCCCATCTCTTCTGATACAATTGTTTCCTATCAAATACTGTGTCCACCCCATAGTAAATTCCATCTGCAAACCAGACGTTTTCTTATCACCGTCGTCATTAAATCTTCACCGTCGCCACTGACTTGCTCCCCTCCTTTCACCACTAATTCCATCCCTGCCAAATACAAAAATTACTATTTTCGTCCCCTTCCACTTGGTCAATGTTGTTGGACTCTTGATGCACACCAACTATTTGATGGGAAGCCTTGCTAACTTCTAATCAAAAGCCTTCTAATGATGGAAGTACGTGAACCAGACAAGCCACCGGACCAAGCCTTCAGACCTATCCCTCACTCAAAAGTTAATCCTATACCAAATCGTTCTCAATCTCACATCATCTCCTAGCACCAAAATTTTGACGACCTCCACATCATCCCTTGTCCAAAACCTCCACAACCAACCCACTAACCTAGCAAAACAAAACATGAACCACTTGGATACGCCCATCTTAACATACACCCCACAAATTTCGTATATGAATGCATTGGTCCTAAAAGCCACCACTAAAGAAGTTTGCACCACCTTGTGGCTGAATAGTGACACAAATTTGGAAGGGTAACTTGAGGAGTCAAATAGCCCCATAATATATTTGTCCAAAGAAGATGAAGTTAGAATTAGACGCCCTTGGGCTAATTCTATTATCTTCAAAACTTATGGCGAACATATAGCTACCATTACTTGATTGGGAAGCTAGTTACTTTATGGCAAACTGGAGATAAAATAGCATGCATAGCTATAGGTGAAGGCTACTATGTTGCTCGCTTGCATATAAAGATGCCAAAGGATACTCAGTGGAGGTCCATGGTTCATTGGGAAGCAGTTTAAAGTGTGAGATAATGGGACTCTGAGTTTCAACCATCA